ATATTTTTTTTTTTTTTTTACTGTATATAGACCAGAGAACAGCTTCCCACCAGTGAGGTAAGCCATTTTATTATGAAGACTGCACTCTGCTAACTACCAAGATATTATACACTGTACTAGACAGCCTTTAAATTTAGCTTTTTACCTGATAAATTTAGAGGTAAAAATCAGGGAAAATTGTAAATACAGTCTTCTATAAAAAAATGTGGGGAGGGGCAGATAAAAGATGTACACAACCAAAGTTACAAAGATTAGATTTGTACTAGTAGACATGAGCGATACATTTATTATTTCTGTTCTGAAAGGTCACCCATTAATATCGCTATCATACCAGGAGACATGGTACACATCCTAAATTTTGTGAATTGAGTAGAGCAGTCCACTGTATAATTTTAAAATAAGAATTCTATTTTATACAGATCAATACCAAATGCAATAACACTGTCCAATTGTTTTCCTGCATACTACTAAAGACATTTGCTAAAATACCCTAGTTTTATTCCTATGCATTTTATTTCTGAGAAAGAATATAAGCCTAAAAAAAAAAATTAACAATTTTATAAGTAAATAATTAAAATATACTTTCTTTTCCTTTTCCTCTTTTTAAGGAATCTGCCAGCTTCTTTCAAGAAGTAAGTCAAAACAATTTACATTAAATATATTTAATAAATTAATTTTTATTTTGTTGTGGTTAGGTAATACATATCATTTATTTTGTAGCAAGATAAGGAGGATGAAGATGTGGTCAAGCATACCAGCCAGGTAATTTTTTTACACTTTTCTACTATTAGTTAATTGATGAGATATATTTTAGATACACTTTGTCAATCACATGTTATTTGCTTATACTTCCATTGTAGGTATTAGAAATTAAAATAAAAAACAACTCTGAATGGACATCAAGAAGGTCCCAGAAAACATACTTGTGGGCAATTTGTGGCTCTTTGTGGGCTATAGTTTCAAAATGAGATATTTCTATTAATGGACCATCACCCTTACTTGCTCTGCATAATTCTGTAATATTTTGGTTGCAGAATTGCCAAAGAATGAGAGACTGGTTACATCCCTCTTGAATCCAGAGTAATGCACATTTTTACTGCTTTCCAAGAGGAACTTCTCTCTACACCACAGCTAAATTACATTACCTTGGCCAAAACCAAAAGTAGGGAAGATTTACAAACAGAATATAATACAAAATCATACTTAAGTAATATAATTTTTTGTATACTTTAATTTTATTTACTCTTTTTAATTTAAATTTGTCATTGCTGACATGGATTATTACCTCACTTTTTAGAATATAGATCAACAACTCTAATTTTAAGTCAAAGGTATGATGCTTACAAAAATATGACAATTTCAAGACAACATAAATGTATACTGCTTAAACAAAGCAATCATTCACAGATAATTGGTTAGCAGGATCTTGGACAGTTTTTCTACATCAACACCCAAATACCAGATTTCCCACTGGCTGGCTACCACCTCCCTTCCCATGTGGCCCATTGAGTTAGGAAAGTTAGTTACTGTTTTCACATTAGCAAGAAGCTCTAGTCCTGCAGTGTTTAAGGCATTTGACTACTAACTGGAAGTTACGTTGGTGGTTCAAACCCACTAGCCACTCTGCAGAAGGAAGATGGGCAAAGTACTCTGTGGAAGGAAGATGGGGCTAACTACTTCCATAAAGATTTACCACCTCAGAAGTAGTCGCTATGGGTCCAAATCAATTCAATGGCAGTGAGTTTGGGTGTTTTTTGTTGTTGTTATTTTGTTTATTTTGTTTTGTTTTTCAGTCATTTCCAAGGCAAAACAGTAGATCTTAATTTGAGATCAATGGACAAGTTCCAGAATTTTATTAAGCACCCTAATGAAAATTTGATTATTTTGGGAATACCTGCATTTTTCTGAAGTAAACAATTGCATTTATCTGAGTCTTTCAGGGATTTTTGAATATATAAATATTAAGATCCAATTATCTAAAAAAGAGTCAGCTCCTGGATGGTGCAATTGGTTAAACTACTAACTAAAATTTTGGCAGTTGAAGCCTAGAATTATATGTAATTCTTAGAACATATTTTATTTGATACTGATTTCTTTCTCCTATGATATAGTTTTGATGACTACCAAAAATTGAGAACATGAATAACAAAGAAAACAAACAACTATTATTTTGATAATTGATGAATAATTGAATTAAAGATTTAATCCTCCATGGATCAACTAATCAACAAAATTTATCAGTTTCCATGAGACATGAAGACCTTGTCATTTAGTAGCTTCCATTTTCGTGAACTTCCAAACCAGTCAATTGTGATTTTTTCCCTCTTATATGTTCTCCACTTAAGCAATTATATAATTAATATTTTTTTCTTGAAATTTACTCTTTGTTAAACTTAAATTATACCTACTCCTGACTTATAGTATCTCATTATTTGACATTTCACATTTATGACGATAGTAAAAAATCTACTATCCAACTATTTTGTGTATTAATGACATATATCTGGCAGAAACAAATGTCAAGTTGCAAGGCTAGAATGATGCTGGCTGTATTGGTTAAGGTTATGTGCCAACCTGGCTATACCATGATTCTCAATGGTTTACCAGATAATAATGATGTAATATAGTAGTAACTTACTGATGTAATGTGGCAGCTATGTAATGATGTAAGTTGAAAGTTATGTAATGATGTAATCATCCTCCATTTTTGCATAATGATCTGTTAATAAGTAAGTAGTAAGCATAGTGCTAATGATTGAAACATTATATAACATTCAACTCACAAGTCTGAATACACACACACACACATGTGTAAGTAAACAAAGAACTATTGAAATAATTATGTGCTGCCTAGATTAATCTTGTGATTTCATTCATTTCAGAAATATTTATTCAGCTACCGCTATATCTTTCACATGATTCTAGATCTTAGAGATTCAACAGTGAATGAAATAAGTAATGACAATAAAAGTATTTTGATGCTTATCTTTACAAAACAGGGATTTTTCTACTTTTAAGAAGAAATTCTGTATAACTAACACAAAAGGAATAATATGTCTAATTTTTTTTTTCCTTTAAGGAAATTCTAAAGAAGACTGTTAATAGGGTAAGATGTTGTTTTTGTATGAAGCTATGTTTGATTCATATTTCTAAAATTAACACTAAAAGATTAATAATATGGTGTGATATATGTGAAAATTCATTTCTAAATAAAATACATGATAGTTTTAAGTTGCTTAAAAATATAATTTATTCCTTGCCTTTAACTGTGCTTCTTTCCAGTGTCCTGAATTTTTTCAGTTAAGATCTTCCATCTAAGTAATATTTTCATGCAGCATGAATTTTATATGTTTTCTTCTGCTTCTTTATTTTTCAGAAAGCACATTTTTACTATTTTTGACCTGGAAATTTAATTACACTTGTTATTTTTTATGTATCATGCCAATGCATTCATTATAATATGAGATAAAACTTTAATTCATTCTGTTAATATCAAAAATATTCTCTGAAATCATCATAAAGTCAAACAAAAGTTTAGCTTGACTAGGGAAAATGGTCTACCTTGAGTGTTACACTTTTTTTCTTGTTGTTGTTATGTGCCATTGAGTCGGACCTGACTCATAATGACCCCTCCTTGGGTTTCCGAGGCAGTATCACTGAGGAACTAGATTGACCAACCTTCCTTCTGAGGAGTGACTAGTGGGTTTGAACTGCCAGCCTACTGGTTAGCAGTCAAGTGCCTTTGTCACTAGAACCATCTATACGGAATCATATTGACAACAGCAAGGCCTAAGACAAGATAGAAATCTAAGGGGCAGTGAGTTTTTGTTAACAAGGGATAAACAACTCAGAAAAAGAGGGTAAGGATTGTTATACAACTAGAAGAATATATCAATGTCACTAAATTGTATTTGTACAAACTGCCGGATTGGTGTATGTTTTGCTATGTATGTTTTCAACAGAAACAAGAAAATAAATAAAATTTAGGGAAAAAAAATACTGCTAGGGATTCATTATCCTTGATTCAGATTGTAATTCTATTATTTTTGTTTATTTCTTAAGGTATCTTCTAGCAGCTCATCTAGTGAAGTAAGTGATACTTTCTTTCAGTATCAAACAGCCAACCAGTTCATTGAAAAATACTGTGCTTTCATCTTCATGACTATTTTAAGCAAATGAAGTGTTGATAATTTATAAACAGAATCATATCAAAATATTCAAAGGAAATAAAAGAAAAATCTTGTAAGAAATATGCTGAGACTCAAAATCATTTTTAAGAACTGAAATAAAATATCTTGAGTAGCTTCTCCATGCCATACTTTTTGGTAATGTGTAGCTGAACTCTCGTCCATTGGAAATATACATTTTTAAAATAAGACAATGTCAGATGAGGATCCTGGCAAATACCTTCAGTGTACCTGGAGAAGCTCTCATATTGTTTAGAACACTGAATACTGGAGTAGGTTGTGGGGTGCATAAATCACAGGTACAAGAAATATCTGCTGTTGTGGAACTAGCCAATGAGTGAACACAATTGGAATTTTCTGGGAAAGGGTGAGATGTGGATCATGGGCTATAGTCTTGCAGCCTCGGTCAAGGTCCAAGTTCTTCCTTATCAGTATAGTAGAAAACATGCTTTACGCTTTCTCTCAAGCTGACAGTCATGTCCACTAATTAAAAAAAAAAAAAAAGTCTTCACAGAAAAAAATATTCAGGCTGTGTCACATATGTCAGCAGGCAAAATGTTGCTGTTGTTGTTGTTATTTGGTGGGGGTATCTGCTTGTACTACATAGAAATTAGATATTCCATAAGCAAAGTATATAAATGAGAAATTTGAAATAAAACATTTCAATCATGTGCCATTATGTTGCCACAGAGCCCGTGTTCTAACAAGGATGTTTTAACTCATTTAATTTTTAACATATTTCTATATTTTATAAACTAGGACTTTATTTCTCAGTAGTGTTGGCTTGGTTCTCAAGAATTAAAATAACTAGCCCTGCATCTTATATTATAACAATTGAGACAAAATTTCTGGTGGGTCATCAAAGGAAATTGATTCTCATTTTCTTTCCCTAAGGAATCAGCTGATGAAATCACTGATGTGAGTAATTTTCATTCAAATTAAATTAGTTAAACAATATGCCATAATACCTTCTTTTGTATTTTATAACAGTTGATATTTGTTGTTAACAGAAAATTGAGCTGACTAAAAAGGAAGAGAATTACCTGAGACAGCTGGTAAGCTTTTCATACAAATTTTAACTTCAAGTAAAATAATACATTTCACCTATCATTTATATTCCAACCCATTTACCATTTCAACACAAAGACATATTTAGTACCAAATTAATAATTAACAATATTTTTGTTATCATTGTTTAAAATAGATCTGTGGCGGTCTTTTAAGAAAAGGAATGTTATGCAATTCTCAAATTAACTTTGGAGAAGTTTCAAACCTCAAATTTTGTTGAAAGTGCAACATATCTAATATAAATGGCAGTTTTGATACTTGGCATTGCTTGGATTGGACTTCTCTTTGATGATATGACATAGTCTGATGTTTCAAAATTAAAGTCTGTTAGTGATTATCTCCTAAACCATAGGAGGTTATCGAACTCATCATCTGTGGACAAGAGACATGTGCAGCTGAACAATAGTAACAGGCTGTAGAGCCAAGCAACTTAGGCTTTAATTTAGCTACTTACTCTAGCCTGCTGTTTCTTGAAAAATAAACACAAATATACTGATCATATGAATTTTTTATGAGAAAAATATCAAATAATACATGTAACTATACAATAGGTTATTATTGGGGACACAATTGGTATACTAATAATAGTTCCTGTTATTATTTTATTATCTATCTCTAGCACATGCAAAAATTCCTTCAAAAACTTTTATAACACAACTAGCTCCTGCTTAAATGCTATGCAAACTAGTAACTTGTTTGTTTTTAGTAACTTCTGATTGTTAAAGCTTTGTCAAAATTATCACCAAAGAATTCTCCCAAACTACCAATTTATCATATGTATTCATCAAACATCTATTTTATGGTAATTCTAAAAAAATCATTGACTTTCCACTTCTAACAACTGGAAATTATCCCAAGAGAATAGGCCAAACCCCAAAACCTGTTGCTGTGGATTCGATTCTGACTCACAGCAATTTATAAGACAGAATAGAACTGCCTTGTAGGATTTCCAAGGCTAGCATCTCTAAGGAAGCAAACTGTCACATCTTTCACCTGCACTACATTTGGTGGATTTTAACTGCTGACCTTTAGGTTAGTAGCTGAACACTTTAACTACTGCACTATTGCACTCCTTGGGAATATGCCACTGTGTATAATTCTAATTTTAATCCTTACAATAATCTATGGGCAGGTTCATATAGCTGATTCAAAATAAAAGAGGGAGGAAAGATATATTTATTAATCATGAAATATATGTCCATAACCCAAATCAACCCACAACCATTGAGTTGATTCTGACTCACAGCCACCCACGTTGAGTTTCCAAGCCTGTAAATCTTTAGGGAAGTAGATTGTCTCATCTTGCTCCCATGGAGCAGCTGTTGGGTCTGGACTGCCGACCTTCTGGCTAGCTTCCAAATGTTTTACCCACTACCCACTATGCCACTCAAAAAAAAAAAAAAAACCTCATTGCCATTGAGTCTGATCTAACTCAGCGATCCCTCTTGGGTTTCCAAGGCAGTATTACTACAGAAGTAGACTGCACAGTCTTCCTTCTGAGGAGTGGCTGATGAGTTTGAACTGCCAGCCTTCTAGTTAGCAGTCAAATGCCTTAGACACTATGCCACCAGAGCTCCCTATGCTGCCTCTAGAGCTCCTTAAGTATGTCAGCACTATGGAAAGTGCTCTCCTTATGTTAATTAACTTACTTCTACAAAGTAAGTGACACCCAAAGAGATTAACAAGTAGCTCCAAGTCACAGATTCTGCAAAATGTAGATTTAAACTCAATTCTATATGACTCAAATATTGGTTTTTGGACCATACATGTAAAAGAAACCATAACCTGAGACACATATCTTAGTAAATCAAGAAATTATCCCCTTCTTCTTTTTTTTTTTCAATTAGACATTTTAGTGTGAGAGATTGAATGAACCAAACCATTTTCGCAAGTTTGCAGTTCATTTTATGTGTGTAGATATTGAGTTCCTTTTGTAAAAACAAACTTTCTTTTCATTAGGTCCTTTTGGTATACTCTTGAATTTATCTGAAAAAATAATTCATTTGGTTATATTCAGATCTACTCTGACACATGATATTGATATAATTACATATATGTGTGTGTGTGTGTGTGTGTATGTGTATATATATATATATATATATATATATATATACATACATTTTTTTTTTCCCCTAGAACAAAGCCAACCAACATCATCGGAAGTTCACCATCCCTCATTCTCTCAAGGCTGTTCCTCAATATCAGACAGCCAGGATCCCTTGGAATCACATTAAGACAAATGCTTACCAATATATCCCCATTCAGGTTGGTTACCCTCTTTTATTTTTAACAATAAAATTAGAATTATCACTTTTAAAAAAGGAAATGAAATAGAGAAATACATTTCAAAAATTTCTCAAGTAGAAACTGAAACAATTGAAATAAAAACTTCTAGGATGAAAATTAAATTATAAATTTTATAGTGTAAATGCTTAACTACAAGCTATAGTTTAATATACTAAACAACTATAATAAGGATTATAACTTGCATTTATGTTGAATTCAAATTTTCTAAATGTTTGCTTATATTTTACTTAATTTCTCTAGCAATTTTGAGAGATAGGTCAAGATAGAGAATATTATTTTTGTGTTAACAAAGATGTGAAATTTTGAAATGTTAAATAACTCGACCAAGTTTGAGATAGTACGTCCCCTTTATTTCTTTCTAAGAGGAAAAAAAAATTAACATAGGAAACATTTCATTCCAACATGAGAGTAAGGACAGGGCTGGAAATAAGACCCAGAGAACTGCCAGTTTAAACAATATGAGAACTGGAAGCAGGGAACCTAGCATGAATAATCTTTTGATCTTTGTTGAGTCACTTCACTTCTCTGAGCATTTGTCAAAAATACATGAATTAGGTAGCATTTAAGGATATCTTGTGTATTATTAGCAAAAATAAGAATTTAATGCTTGTTTGAATATCAGATATGTAAATAATAGCCTAAGTATTTCCATTGAAATGTAAGCATTTTTTTTTTTTTAATTTTCATGATAAACTTTCACTTTTAGCTAAAATGTGTGATTTCTTTCTCTTTTAAAGAGGTACTTTTAAAATTCTTCAATTAGCTGCTTCTACTTGATTTGGGTAAGTGCCTTTAGACTTAGAGAAATTTTATGTGAACAGCTCAACTTTTAAAAATAAAGTTAACTAATATAGTTTCAACTTTATTTAATTAAACAAATCATGTTTTGGCTTATGAAATATTCTAAATATTCTAATTCTTATTAGCACCTTTTTGACTCAGAGGTGTAATTTGTATACATTTTGTAAATATTTTAAATTATAGTAAATTCTCT